TTTGGTTCTCAAGTTTCAAGGAGTAGTAAAACTTTGGTTAGTAAGGGATTTATCCAAAAATATAACTGATGCAACAGTTTCTGTTGGATATCGAGAGCTTGGAGTGTAGGGGATATTTCTATACCTGGAGAATAAATCCCCAAAAGTGCTGGGTCCAAGGGTGTGTGAGCCAGCTATCGCTATATGACAAATGGCTCCAAAACATAGTGGCTTTAAAATAACAAATATTTACTTCATGTAGTTTCTAAAGATCAGGAATATAGCAGCGGTGTGACTGGGTGGTTCTGGCTTGGGATCCCTCGTGAAGTTGCAGTCAGACTGTTAGCGGGGAGGCAGCCATCCGAGGACTTGACTGGGGTGTTGACAAGTCTGCTTCCAGCATGGTTCAATCACATGACTACTGGCAGAAGGCCTCAGTTTTCTGCCATGGAGACCTTGGTACAGGGCCACCTGAATGTCTTTAAGACCTAGCTACAGGTTTTCTTCAGTGTGAGTGATCTGAGAAAAAGAACAAGAAAGATGCCACAGTGCCATTTTTTAACCTAGTCTTGTTTTCTTTTCTTTTCTTTTCTTTTCTTTTCTTTTCTTTTCTTTTCTTTTCTTTTCTCTTCTCTTCTCTTCTCTTCTCTTCTCTTCTTTTCTTTTCTTTTCTTTTCTTTTCTTTTCTTTTTTCTTTTTATTAGCAGCAGCGAGTTTCTAAGTTCACTCTACACCCAAGGGCTCCATCTCTTAAAAGAAAGTGTTGTAAAAAATTCGTGGACATAATTTTTAAAGTACCACAAAGAGTATATGCATTTGTAATTTTGATAAATATTTCCAAATTGCCTTCCATCAGATTCCCACCAGCAATATATGAGAGCTGTCAGACTTTCAAATTGAAATTAATTTGGTTTATGCTACACAAAGACAAGTAGAAAGGAGAAAAATAAAGTCACCAATTCATCACAATATGTATTTTATGGGCCATACATATAATATGTATTTATGTGGTGATTCCTCCAATCAGTTTTGAGCTCTTAGAACATGGGAGCACATTTCCCCCCCAAATCTTTACTGCCCCCAGAGAACTTAGCTTAATGGTATATATACCATAGATGCTCAGTAATTTTTTTTGTGTCTATCTCTACATATGCATAAGAAAAGCAACCAGAGAAGTTACTAACTATAAAATATTACCAAAAACAGAAGCGCAGCGTTGGGAAATAATACTAAGTAAAAAAGTTTAATCTCTTTGAAAAATAGTACCACTGAACTAATTCAAAGCATTATTTCTAAAATATTCTTGATTTTTACTTTTTTTGGGGGGGTTACCCAAATCAGAGATTGCTGGCAGTATTTGGTGTTCAAGCAAGACTGGATACATATAGAGGTATTATATTGAGCTTATGTATCTGATTAAGATTGAACTAATCTTTATGATTATATATGCCAAAATGCCAAAGCCTTTTCTAATTGGAAGATTGTTTAATTCTTTGAGTGTGAAAATGGTTAAAATAATTTTAGATCATATAATCTGTTCAATATAAGTAAGCATTTCTTTTGGCATGAGATATATTTACTGAAAATCTTGCATATAAATGAAATTGTTTCAGTTGTACTTAGAGAAGATAGTTATTTTACAGAGATAAATTTAGGAAGGATCATTTATTTAACTTTAAATGATCTGTCCTTAATTTTTTTGTTATTCCACATTATTAAAAACTGAGTTTGCTTAAAACAGAGAAAATCTGTAATACAGATAATTGGTAACCGATACATAATCTCTTCTCTGCATAGGGACTTCTGTTTCTTCATTGATCCTGATTTTTATGTGACTAATAGTTTACTTTTTTAGTTGGGTATAGTCTTTTTTTTTTTTTTTAGTTGGTTATAGTCTTAAAAGAATTTTATTTAAGTTGGCCAAATGGGGGGACATATTTTACCTTTAAAACCAGCATTTTTTAGGCTTTTGAGTATTCATTAGAAAAGACAAGACAGCCAAAGAAAGCTTTGTTTCCACGATTCCTACTTTGTTCCCGATCATTCTCAAAATGTATAAAGACTCAAATTAGGAACATATACACTAAATTGGCATTAGTGGAATGCTTATTTAGTTTCTTATCTGTTTTCTATCCTAATAACAAAATGAAGAACAGAAGTACATCACCTGTCTAAAAGACTGATTTATAGGATGAAAAGATTTAGGGAATGAAGTGTAACCATTAGTTTTTCATCTTTAGGGCTGTTCAACTCTATTAAAAAAATAAAATCTGGGGTAGGCTGCTGTTTGGCCAGGTGTGTGCATGTGTGGGTGTTGAAACTCAAACAGACCAGAACCCTAACATTAGTATCCCTCTTTTCTCTGGCCAAAACCGTAATAGTGGAGCCCCAAGGCTGCTTGCACTGCTACCACAACCAAAAATACATGCTATCTATATAGCAGGCAGTATTTTGACTCCAGTGAAAGCAAATAGGATACTTATAACTTAAGAAAATTGGCAAACAGAATGAGTTAAATTGATGTTTCATTTTTCTCCAGTGGTAAGTAGAAGGACTAAGGACTCCAAAGGGCCAAAGAATAAATAGTTTTTAAGAATTAAAAAAAAATTTTTAATGTTTATTCATTTTTTGAGGGGGAGGGAGAGACAGAATCCAAAGCAGTTTCCAGTCTCTGAGCTATCAGCACAGAGCATGACACAGGGCTCAAACTCATGAACCGTGAGACCATGACCTGAGCCAAAGTCAGACACTTAACTGACTGAGCCACCTAGGCACCTCTAAAAGTTGTTAGTTGAACAAAAAGTTCTCTGTCTTGAAACTGGATATTGTTTCTATTGATATTAGCAATTTTCCTTTGTTGCCTAAAATATCTTCTTTAGGAAGAAATGCATTTAATTTAAGTTTCCCAAATGCACATATGCTGATCTAGCCTTTAAAATCTCTCTTGTAACTTAGGGGAAAAGTTAATTTTAAAAAGTCAGATTGCCATTTTAACCTCTTTGGAAGATAGATTTTATATTATAGTAGTTCCCCTTATGTATGGGGGATATGTTTCTTCTTTCTTTTATGTTAATGTTTATTTTTGAGAGAAAGAGAGAGAGTGTGCACAAGCTGGGGAGGGCCAGAGAGAGGGAGACAGAGGATCTGAAGTGGGCTCTTCACTGACAGCACAGAGCCTGCTGGGGGACTTGAACTCCCAAACTGAGATCATTACCTCAGCCATTGTTGGACCCTTAACCGACTGAGCCACCCAGGCACCCCAAGTGAGGGGATATGTTTCAAGACCCCCAGTGGATGGCTGAAACCACAGGTAGTACTGAATGAAATATATACTTATTTATTTATAATGTTTTTTCCTATTCTTACATTCTTATATACATGTGATAAACTTTAATTTATAAATTAGGCACAGTAAGAGATTAACAATAATAATGAAAGAGAACAATTATAAAAGTATATTATGATAGGCGTGCCTGGGTGGCTCAGTCGGTTAAGCGTCCGACTTCGGCTTAGGTCATGATCTCACAGTTCATGAGTTCAAGCCCCGCATATGGCTCTGTGCTGACAGCTAGCTCAGAGCCTGGAGCCTGTTTTGGATTCTGTGTCTCCCTCTCTCTCTGACGCTTCCCTGCTCATGCTGTCTGTCTGTCTCTCAGAAATAAATTTTTTAAAAAACATTTAAAAAAGTATATTATGATAAAGGTTTTATGAATGTGGTCTCTTTCTCTCACAACATCTTATTGTACTGTATTAACCCTTTTTGTGATGATGTGCGATGATAAAAAGCCTATGTGATGAGGTGAAGTGAGGTGAATGATGTAGGCATCATGATGTAGCATTAGGCAATAATTGACCTTCTGACCATACATCAAAAGGAGGGTCATCTTCTTTGGGACCATGGTTGACTGTGGATGGTTAAAATCGTGAAAAGCAAAACAATGGATAGGGAAGACTACCATATCTCCCCTGTTGAAATATTATCCATAACAATCTCAGAGACAAAGACTTAGAAATTCCTTTGGGTTATCTTGACCCAAAAACATAAGAATCCAAGACAATCTCTTTAGAACTGATATTTTCCCTCCAGAGTTCCCCACAGACTAAATATAGAATCTTAGAAAACTTGGGCTCACTGATAAGAGAAGTATAATTATTTCTACAGTATTTTTCTGGAATCTCAGAGTTGGGTCATACATTTTGTGTTTTCAGCATATCCAAGAACATGGGCCACTTCCCTGGGTAGAATTCATCTCCAACTCCTGGAATTAGTTGATGGCTCTAACTTTGAGGGGAAAATTGTGGTAGTAGATGGTATAGCATAGAACCAAACCGTTCAGGCCACTTTCCAGATTACAGATATCTTCTTACAGTGCTCTGACATGTACAAATTACCTTCAGAAATCATTAAGTAAGAGAAATTAAGAAGTAGCTGTAAAGACAATTCTTTGAGAGAGAAATGATTCATCAATTCGATTTCTCATTGAAGCCATCAGTAATACCTGAAGAGTCAGTATTAAAATAACACTATCGTTAAGTATTCCCTGTTCCTCATCTCATGGGGGAAATGTTTTGATGTTACCAGGGCTTTTCTTGAGCATCATCTTTTGCTTTGTGGCTTTGGGTCCTTGACAGTATGGATAAAGAGTGATTGTTTTCCTACATTTTTAAGCCATCACAGAGTAACTGAGCTTTATTAAGTATATAAATGCAATGGTACATTTAAAACAGAAACAGAAACTTCCTAAAATATAATGGGTGACTCTGTAAAAACAGAGCCCCATCACTAGATAATGTCTGTAACTCTGGAAGAGCTTTTTCAGATTTCACAGTCCACCTCCCGCCTCCCATTGGAGAATCCCAGCCAGTGGAAAGGAACCTGATGGGATGTTTCCTGTTCCTCAAGTGTGTTAGGACCAGGGAACAAAATGGACACCCACAATGTTAGACCATCACTGAAGGGACTTTTATAGCTGTATATCATTATAGTTAGCTCTGCTTTCTGGATTTTACCATTGTAACAGGCAAAGCTAGATGGTGGAAGACAACAGTGGAGACCTATCCTCATGGCTGTGACTGAGAAGGATTTGCTGCTTTATGACTGTATGCCATGGACAAGGGATGCCTGGGCATCACCATGTCATAGCTACCCTCTTGTTGCTACAAGGTAAGTCTAACAACAGAAAAAATAAAATAACTCTATGTAAAGTGAATTCTATTTTCTTAGGCACTTAAAATAGCATTTAAATAGCAGATATAGTTGGTTAAGACAAAAACTTATCTTTCACAACCCTATTATTTTGCAGCTCCTAGCTCAGAATAAATGTTTTCTTTCATTAGCATTTTTTTTTAAGTTGTTGAAGCAGATTCCTAACTACTCCCTTCAAGTCTTGCTTAGTCATGAAGATAAATAGTAGGGGGTTTTTCCCCCTTTACTTTATTGACTATGACTAGAAAACCACTGGAATTGTGGCAGCCTTTTGACTGAGTGATGAAATCATTTAAACCAGAATGTGGTACTGTGGATAAACCACATAACTCAGCCAAAATATTCTTCAATTCTCTCTCTGGTATAAGAGCACATAATTTTGATGCCAGCAAATAAACATTGATTTGACCTGAAGCAACAGGATGTTTCTAGCATGCCAGATGTGGGAGCTAGAAGGGAAAAGAATAGAGATTTGTAGATTTGGGGGCCAAGATGTCTTAAGATGTAACTAGAAACTAGTATGAGACTAGAAAACATGTTTACATTCAGCGTTATTTGGGCTTAAAAAAGAATCCAGTTTTGAAGTAACTGAAAAATTATACATTAAAAAGGAACTCCACAGAAAAGTATGTGGTAATAAAAAAAAAACCGTTAAATGATGGTGCCACCTGGTATGTCCCCCAGTAAACAGTGTGGTGCGGGATCAGGGGGATGATGGGGTTCCTGCTTTGAGTAGACAAAGATTCATATGAAGAAGAATATCCTTTAAAATACAGGAAGACTTTCATGTTATATAGGATTTCCTTAATTTGTCAAGTCTCTTATATATGCCATTTTTGTAAAAATATAATTTTCACATAGCTTTGAGGAATTTCTCTGTAATTTGGAGCTGGAGCACCTTGATCACAGAATAGTGATAACAGATTTGTTGATCCTCAGAATTAGGGAGGTGTGCCCTCATTAATTCCTTGAGGACATAATGGTCCTGCAGAAAGACTGAATTTAACCATCAGTTTCACTGGTTTTGTTCTCACACACACACACTTTTTTTTAATCCCCACTAAATTACAGCCTTTTTGAGATCAAGAACTATGACTTTGTCATTGCAACACTCCCATAATGCTTTGCATATAGTGGGCCCTCAATAAATCTTAGTTAAGTTCAGTTCTATTACTTTAGTTTCTTGGTCATGGTTACATTGGGAGCCTGACAGGAATCCTATGAAAACATGTAGACCTATCTTAGTAGTTAACAACTATAGCAGTTAAATTTGTATTTCCTCAAATTTAGAGTTTATGAATATGACTATAGAGATCTCTTAAGTTTAAATTTTATGGAAGAAGCTTATACTTTAGTTATGATCATACAGTGCAAGGAGGGCAGCTTTATCCTTAGACATTTCCCTAATTGTTTGTCACTGGAGGGATGGAGCAGAAATCTGTGACATCCCATAGATGATGAGTTCAATACTAGAAAGTATAGTCCTATAAATAGATCATTTCTGGCCATTCACTTACTGGGCCTAGACCAACAAAGCACTTTGTTGCTGAAGAAGGAAATGGGCTGGTTCTGTGTATACTATCAGCGTGGCATTAAGTTGCAAATAGGGAAAAGAGATAAATAAGATTTAAGAGCTAAAATTATAAAACTCTTTTTTTTTTTTAATTTTTTTTTTAATGTTTTATTTATTTCTAGGAGAGAGAGAGAGAGACAGCGTGAGCAGGGGAGGGTCAGAGAGAGAGAGAAACAAAAACTGAAACAGGCTCCAGGCTCTGAGCTGGCAGTCAGCACAGAGCCCGACGCGGGGCTCAAACCCACGAACCGCGAGATCATGACCCGAGTGAAAGTCGGACGCTTAACCGACTAAGCCACCCAGGTGCCCCAAAACTATAAACCTCTTATGAGAAAATACAGGAGTATATCATCATGACCTTAGCTTAGGCAGAGCCTTCTTAGATAGGACACCAAAAACATAAGGAACAAGAAACAGAATAAATAAATTGGTCTTCATTAAAATTAAAAACTTTTGTGCTTCAAATGTCACCATCAAGAGAGTGAAAAGACAACCCACAGAATGGGAGAAAATATTTGCAACTTATCTGATTTGGGACTTGTATCTAGAAAATGTAAAGAATGGTTACAACTCAATAATAAAAAGGTGAATTACCCAATTAAAAATGGGGAAAGGATCTGAACAGACATTTGTCTAAAGAAAATATACAAATGGGCAATGAGCACATGAAAAGACGCTCGACATGAGGGAAATGCAAATTGAAACTACAACGAGATACCACTTCCCACCCACAAGATGGCTATAATTATAAAACAAGTGTAAACCAGGATGTGGAGAAAATGGAACCCTCATACACTGCTGATGGGAATGTAAAATGGTGCAGTCAGTGTGGAAAACAGTCTGGCAGTTCCCCACAAGGCTAAACATAGAGTCACCATATGACCTAGCAGTTTTACTCCTTGGTTGTATACCCAAAAGAAATGAAAACTTCTGTCCACTCAGAAACTTAAACAGGAATGTTCATAACAGCATTATACATAACACCCAAACAATGAAAATGATCCAAGTGTCCATCAAGCGATAAATGTGGTATATCAATACAATGAAATATTATTGATCAGTAAAAAAGAATATACTCTGCAACGTGGATGAACCTTGAAAACATGCTAAGTGAAAGTAGCCAGACACAAAAGACCACATATTTTATTTATTTAGTTTATATGAAATGGCCAAAATAGGCAAATCTATAGAAACAGGAAGTTGGTTATTCATTACCAGGGAAGGGGTGAGGATTGGGAGAAATAGGGAGTGATGGCTAATGGGTATAGGACTTCTTTTTGGGGTAATGAAAATGTGCTAAAACTTGAGGGTGGTGATGACTGCACAATTCTCAATATACTAAAAGCCATAAATTATATCTCAGTAAAGCTGTAATAATGAAAACAACCCTGCCCCCCCCAAATGTGAAGATGTGGTAGAAGAGACTAAGACCAAACCTTAATAAACTGAGTTTGAGTCCCTATTCTGCCATGTATAGTAGGTAATTGGCAGCAGGTTGCTTAACCTATCTGTGCTGCAGAATTTTAATTCCTTAAGTTTATCCTAATGAGGTAGGGTGGGTGTGAGTATTAGATGAGTTAATATTTGTAAAATGCCTGCAACAGTACCTGACACATTGTAAGTGCTCAAGTAAATATTAGCTGCTTTAATTATAATTATTATTATTAAGTGAAAATCTGTCAAAGTGAAATTCTTTTAAAATGTATCATTGATTTGATTTGGCCATTGTTAAAAGAGGAACTTAGCTCTACCGAATAGTTTTTAAAAGTAGTGAAAGTTTCATGTTAAATGTAATGAATTAAAGTGTATTATTTGTATCAACCTAGACATACAAATTGAAATTGGCCATAAATTAAATGGGTGGAGCCTATAGCTCTCTGAACATATTGTTTCTTGAGAGGTTTAATTAATTTAACAGCAGGGATTCTCCTCCTTGTTTAGGGAGTACCAGTGGATTAGGAACTAAGATGACAGGCAGATGAGAGGTTTATTTTTTCCATGTGGCCCTGTCAGCCAGGTGGAATTGGTTGAAGTCACTGCAAGATAGAACTAAGTGGGGCTTAATCATCCTCTGCCTCCCAGAGCGGGTCGAATTTGGCCACTGAGAGAAACCAAAGGCTGGAACCAGACCAGGAGGTATCCCACAGAGAAAAGCAAGGCCAGAAAGTGGTATGTTTATGTCTTTTTGGTGTGGGGGAAAGAGAGGGTTTGAGATTTATGAGTAATGAGAAAGGGCTGAATATTCACTTTCACTAATTCTACTTCGAATACTTTGGAAAGTGTCCTTATGAATAGACGAGACAAAGGAAAAAAAGATAGTAGAAACACATAGGAAAAGAAATCAAGGACATTGATTATCCACAAAAGTAGGTAGTTACTGATAAGAGTTAGTTGTGGTTCAAAAATTTAAAATACTGTTAGGGGGCGCCTGGGTGGCTCAGTCGTTTGAACGCCAGCTTCAGCTCAGTTCATGATCTTGCGGTTTGTGAGTTTGAGCCCTGCATCAGATTCTGTGCTGACAGCTCAGAGCCTGGAGCCTGCTTCGGATTCTGTGTCTCCCTCCCTCTCAGCCCCTCCCCTGTTCATGCTCTGTCTCTCTCTCACACAAAAATAAAATAAACATTAAAAAAATATATATATATACATATAAAAGGATGTTGTTAGGGTGATGTAAGTTAACATCATTTATTGGCTTGCACATTTACAGATTCCTAGAAATCAAGGTATGTGTATGTGTATGTGTGTACTTAACAGCACACTTCACACTGGGGAGGAGTTAAATAAAATATGAGAGTGATAAATGAAGAGAATTTTTGTTTAATTTTTTAAATTTTATTTTACAGGGGCGCCTGGGTGGCTTAGTCGGTTAAGCGTCCGACTTTCGCTTAGGTCATGATCTCGCGGTTCGTGGGTTCGAGCCCCGCGTCAGGCTCTGTGCTGACTGCCAGCTCAGAGCCTGGAGCCTGTTTCAGTCTGTGACTCCCTATCTCTCTGACCCTCCCCTGCTCACGCTCGCTCTCTCTCTCTCTCTCTCCTAGAAATAAATAAAAATAAATAAATAAATAAATAAATAAATTTTATTTTACATATTCCTAGAGATTAAGGCCAGAAACATGACACAGATAGAAAAACACAATGGTTTTAAAGGGGCTGTGGATTTTGGAGAATGTGCATTTTGATCTTTTTCCTATGAACTTTGATCTTTGACTGCAAGAGAAAAAGATGCAAAGAAAGTGTGGCTACTTTAAGTGTGGAAAATTGAAGTGGTGTTGTGCTTATGGGACTTAGGGGACAAAAGCTGCTAAAATGCCTTTGCATGAGCTCATCTGGCCCCCCCACTAAAAGGGGCCTTTGGGCAGTATGTTCTAGCCAACTGCTGCTCAGC